CATTTGGTCCTCCGGGTGCTCGTGCTAACTCCTTTTCTTTTCCTATCCTGACATCACACAGAGATAGGACAGAATCACATCATTGTTCCCCAGTCCCGCAACAGGATGGGGGTCCACAGTGGGCCCTGCAGGACGATCACGTGTTCTTGTTATCCTTCCACTTTGTGCCAGTCAATTTATAATCCAGCTCGCTGATTTAGCTCTCCTTCTTTGCCATAAATATCGAACACACATAACACCATTTGAGACCATCTGTAACTACATCAGGAGTCCCTGGGTGGTGCACACGCTGAACATTTGACTGCCAATTGAAAGGCTGGCAGTTCGAACCCACTCAGTGGTACTGTGCAAGACAGGCCTGGAGATTACTTCCAAAAGGTCACAACCTTGAACACCTTATGGAGCAGTTCTACTCTGCACACGTGGGGTTGCCATGAGTTGGACTCGACGGCAATAACAAAAACATAACTACTTGCTGGCTTTTTGTCTCCAATTCTCTCATGAGATTTATATTTAAACAAACTTTTTATTTTAGAATAGTTTTAGATTTACAGAGAAGTCATAAAGAGAGTACAGAGTTCCTTGTGTACTTCACACCCAGTTTCTCCTGCTGTTAACACCTTGCATTACTGTGGTACATCTGTCATAACTAATCAACCAACACTGATACATTATTATTAACAGATGTCACATTTTATTCAGATCTCATTAGTTTTCTTAGGTTTCCCCTAAGGTTTTCTTTCTGTTCCAGAATCCCATCCAGGACATCACATTACACTTAGTTGTCATGTCTCCTTAGGCTCCTCTTGGCTGTGACAGTTTCTCAGACTTGATTTTTGATGACTGTGATGGTTAAGATTGTGTGTTAACTTGGCTGGGCCACAATTCTCAGTGTTTATATGAGATCACCCCCACAATGGGATCAGCTTGAGTAGCCAATCAGCTGAAGGGAGTTTCCCTGGGCATGTGGCCTGCATCCAAATGTAAGTGGATGTTCTGGCTTTTGCCTTTTCTGGATCCTGCAGCTGGCTCCTGTTCATCTGACCTCCGGTTCTTGAGACGTGAGCCAGCAGCTTACGTGCCCATCTAGGGATTCATCAATCTTCACAGCCTGTGAGCAACAGCCCTGCTCTCTGACCTGCCTATCTTGGGATCACCAGCCCCTGCAGCTACGTGAATCAGGAGCAGCCTTGTGGTCTTGCCTGCTGATCTTGGGATTCATCGATCTTCAAAGCCTGTGAGCAAGAGCCCTACTCTCCGACCGGCTGATCTTGGGTTTGCCAGCCCCTGTGGCTACGTGAATCAGAAGCCTCTACCTTGATCCACAGATTTGGAACATTTCAGCCTCTACAATCACGTGAGCAGTTTCCTTGATATAAATCACCCTCTATATATATTTGTACTCTTTACTGGTTTTGTTTCTCTAGAGAATTCAGCCTAAGACAATGACTTTGACGTTTTTCCAAAGTAGTGGTCAGGTATTCTGTAGAATATACCTCAGCTGGGGTCTGTCTGATGCCTTTCACATGGCTAGATTGGGATTATGGTTTTTGGAAGGAAGACCATAGAGGTGAAGTGCGCTTCTCATTATATCATACTGGGGGACATAATATCAACATGACTTATTACTGTTGATGTTGAGCTGATCACCTGACCGAGGTGGTGTCTGGCACTTTAAAGTTACCTTCCCCCCCAGACCCCCTTTCCAAGCTGCAGTCTTTGGACGCAAGTCACAAAGAGCACCCCATACTGTAGGGGTGGGGTGTTTTGCTCTGTCTCCTTTCAGGAGGGGTCTGCATAAATTATTTGGAATCCTTCTGAACAGGAAACTTGTCTCTTCTCTTCCACTCATTCATTTATTTAATCGTTTATGTTAGTATGGACTCATGGATATTTATTTCATACTTCGTGTTATAATCCAAAACTATGTTATATATATTTTTCACTTTAGTCACTAGGAGCTTTTTCAGTTGGTTCCTGCATCCCTTTGACGTAGCCCCATCATTTTGTTTTTTGAGCGCTTCCTTCTTTCTGGCACTACAAGCAGCTCTGGGTTTACTGGGTATTCTCCCTCCTCAGTCCTAGAATCAGGTGCTTCTCCAAGGAGCCCTTGCTCCTTTCACTAGAAAATGGTATTAGAAACCAAGATCCAGGCACTAGGTACCATCAGAGATTTTTAATGCTGCTGGTATTAGTGGTTTTGTAATAGATGAAAAAAATCAACATGTCTCCTTCCTTCTTCACTTTAAAAAACATGGACGTACCTCCAGAACTGAAAATCAACACGTCCCAAACAACTTATCCTCTTCCCCACTAAGCATGCTCCTCTTTCTGTGAATGACATGATGGAAAACGAGCCAATTCCCTGGGTCCCTCCCTTTCCTTCTTTATTCAAATTTAACCAGCTACAACATCCACAGACCCTAACTCTTTATGTCTCCATTGCCACTTTTACATCTCCATCACCACTGGTACCATCTTTACCTCAGTCCCTCATTATTTCTCAACAGAAAGGAGAGATAAAACAGTTCCTTGGTTCCCTCTCCCATTTTTAACCTCCTTTACTAAAATCCTGACCTCACGAATATGGTACTCTAAATCACAGATCTCCTCCTATCACTATCCTGCTTCAAAGGGTTCAATGAGTCAACCCAAAACTAAAACCATTCCCAAGGCCAACTCTTCGGACAAAGCTTAGACTGGACTATGGGACATAGCCTGATGCTCGTGAAGAGTGCATCTTAGCTCAAGCAGATATATGAGACTGAATGGGCAGCTCTTGATCAGAGGTGACATGAGAAGGCAGAGAGGGTCAGGAGCTGGATGAACGGTCACGAGAAATCAGGGGTGAAAAGGAGGAGTGTACTGTCAGTATAGGGAGAACAACTGGGGCCACATAACAATGTGTGTACAAATTTTTGTATTAGAGACTAACTTGAATTGTAAAACTTTCACTTAAAGTACAACAATAAAAAATTTTTTTTTTAAAAAGGGTTCAATGAGTCCACAATGCTCAAGGACCAAGTCTAGACTCTTTCTGAAGGATGTTAACAGTCTGGTCCCTATGAGATATGTACGTCCCTATCTCTCACTCGTATGCACGGCGCCCCCTCCCCAACTAATGCTTTTCTGACATTACAAGTTTCTGGGCCTTTGCAAACGCTGATCTCTGTCCTGGAGTGGCTCCTGTGTCACAACCCCCACCCACCCACCTTCTGGTAGAGCATTTTCTTCAGGGCTCAGTCTAAGTAACATCTCCCTGCAAAACATCTCTTCCCCCAAACGCCTCGCAGACACTTCTACTTCACCTCCTAGCACATTCTTTTTTACTGACTTGCCCGAGAGTCTCCCTTCTGGCTGTAAGCTTGCTGAGGTGGAAATTTTGTCTTATTAATTTCTGAATCTCCATAGTTGGCTGACAAGGAACTCAGTAATGTTTGTTGCGTGAATTAATGAACATACAAATAGATGGACAAAGGAACAGATAATCAAGCAAATAACCACTGGGAAAACTATTCCTATGTTTCCTGAACTGCCTTTTGAAGTGAAGATGAATATCTAAGACAAGACTTTCAACAATTCCTCTGATTCTGATAATCTGTATTTTAAGCACTAGAGTCTAGTCAGGCTAAAGAACGTGGGAATATTAAATAAAAATCTAAACCACAGTGAATGTCGTGACTTCTACACCATTAACCGCTTAAAGGGCAGAGGAAATTCTAGCACAATAATCCTGCCTAGTAAGATAGCCTCATTTATCTCTGAAGGTTTTCATTTAACTCCAACCAACTGCTTTAGCCCTACCTAATCTGTTAGGAAGCACAGCACGTTGGGAAGGTATCTTCGTAAACAGAGAATGGCAAATATTTACTGAGTGCCGATCGTGTGCCATACATGTGATCAGCCTTATATGATACCAACATATAAAGTTCAGAAGCCATGTGATGGACTGGTTTCAGCATCATGAACTAGGACACTGCTGACCTCTGCCTTGGGTCACCCTCATTCACTTGTCACAACTCGGCCCACAGGAGGCTCGTGTAATTGCGAAAAATAACCACCTTAGATTTATTACTACTAGTAGTTACTTCCAATGATTCTACCTGCTTTGTAGCTATTTTCCAAAAACATTCACTTAGCTTTTTATCTTTAAATAGTCACACCCGTCCTGTAAAGTCTTATTTTCAAAATGATGGGTTACCGAACTTCCAGTGTGGCAGTGGTGGGACTGACCCAGCAAATCCAAATAAAATTTAAGGCCACAGAAGTCTTTCATGAGGCAGAGCGCAAACTTTCACTTTATCTTGCCAACATCTTCCAAATACCACAAGAATTTCCAAAATACTTCAGCTCATGTCAGAAAAAATAAGTGCTGGCAAAATGCTGTACCCCTCGTAATGAAAATAAAACTGACCTTCACCAGGATATTAATACCCATTGATTAGCTTCTGCTGAATCAACTATCAAAGAGATGCAGAGCAGGACTTCTAGCTTCCCAAATGTCAACAGTCTGATACATAAATTAATTTAGTTATCAGAAAACTTTTCAGTTATTCTACATTTTAGGATACATGAATAACGAGTAAATCCCTGATCCCTATTGTGGGGGGAAAAATCCTCAGTAAACTTATAAAGAGAACTATAAAAAGGATGAGATTACTAGCTAACAGTAGTTTACAGGCAATTCTAGAGTTCAATGTAACTTAGAAGTGAAACTTTATTACAGTATAATTGAACTAGAGACCAAAAAGTTTATTACATACATGTTAACATGTCAGAGACTCGTTAGCCTTAACATTTATCAACAAATCTAAATGGTTGCTAATACAATGATGTCACCAAGAATTTTTTCTTACAACTTTCCCTCTTCCATGTGTAAGTTTTAGAACAGATTCACTATTTAATGTTAAGTAAAGATAACCAAGCTAACAAAGGCTACAGTTTGAAGGAATGAGTTAGTTCTGAAGACTGCAGGTGTAACTCAGACGTGCAATACTCACTCTAATACTTCATAGTTAGACTTCTTCTCCAGTGCGTTGCCCCGCATCTCCCAGTATGATCGCCTAAAATCAGGAAAGACATAAAATTTTATGTATATAAATGATGTCTGGGATGACAAGTCTTAAAATGAAGGGAGGGGAGAGTTGCACCGAAATACTCTGTGGCTCAGCCACAAACACTCTGGGAAGCTATGACTGAAGAAAGAACGTGATTCACAACATTATTCCTGTGTCCCCACGAAGCAAACTCAGTCGGCACAGGTCTCGTCTCTACACAGCCATCTGATTCTCCCTTTTAATTTGAAACTGGCCCAGCTCTTGATAAAGATAAAGAATGAAATTTTGGGTTTAAAAGAGATTCATTACATCTGTTACCTCTCAAGAGACACAGTACATGCACACAAGACGTCCACCACCGCATGGGACTGTGGCTGTGGTCAGGCTTCTGCCACATCTGCTCCTGGTAACACGCTTTCAACGGCATGAACTAGTGACGTGAGATGAAGTCAGCAGCTAGTACACGCACCAGGAGGTGTCAGGCTCCTGCGGAGTAAGTGACCCCACAGCACATGCTGCCTATCCTACCATCCTTAAGGTTTACATCTGAGTTTCACCTCCTTACTCCTAACTGCACAATCGAGCAGTTTCAGGTTGTACCAGAATCCAGTACTTCCTATACAAAACCTGACATTAATGGATCTGACTGTCTCTTCAAGTATCTCACAAAAGGACAAGACTAGGCTTCAGCTGCCTTCTGATGTACTGATACTACAAATCATCTGAAATAATTTTACAGCAGAATGCATAATCAACGGACTTTGTTTTTGGAGGGGGTCTAGTTTTTCAAGCTTTTCCATTAGAGTCCAAAAATGTAATCAGTGACACCAAGCAGTAAAATGAGGAGAAAAGCGCAGAGGAAAGGAGGAGGACAAGAGGGGGTGGGGGGAGCTGAAGGGAAGGGAATAAAACCTAACGGGAGGGAGGCCAGAGCGGAAAGGAGAGGAAAAAGCTGTTAAGGACCAAGAGAGGTATGACTGCCATTCACATGGATCTAATGCTTCGAGGGTCCCTCTGTAGGTCTGTCTGTGGGAGGAGAGAAGGGCTTATGTCTCCTAAGCTAAAACTGAAGAAGGCGAGGAGATGAAGCAGGAACGTAAAGCGACCAGTGAGAGACAAGTTTTGTTACTGGAAGATATAATTTAAGGCTGAAAACAAGCTTTAATGAAAGGCTGAAGAGGATACTTGATACCCCATTGGGTCCTGACAGGAACTGTTATTTAATAGCCGCCTTCAGGATAAAAAATAGTTACTTTGGGGAAAATTATCACTGTTTTGAGTAAACACAATCAAATTTTACCTAATTTAACCAACTCATCTTAAACCTGCAGTCCAAGGTAAATTTTAATTAAAATTACATCTGATGAAGGTAAAACTTTTTTTTAAGTCAAAATTTAAAATGATGATGTACAAGGTAATATATGATAAATGGAGCCCTGGTGGCGCAGTGGTTAAGAGCTTGGCTGCTAATCTAAGGGTTGGCAGTTCGATTCCACCACCTGCTCTTTGGAAACCTTATGGGGCAGCTCTACTCTGTCTTACACGGTCACTACAAATCAGAACTGACTCGACAGCAACGGGTTTTACATGATAAATGGTGAGAAGTGTTATCAGAGACAAGACGACTCGTGTGGTTCGTGTGGTGGCCACTGGTCACATCTAAGTTTAAATTTGAATTAAAGTGTACTCGCCACATTTCAGGTACTCAGCATCCCCCCGGGGCTGGCGGTTGGCATGTGGGGCAGCGCAGGCGCAGAACATCTCCATCCTCACAGGAGGCTCTATCGGGGAGCAGTGCCTTAGATGCTTACGCACTTGCTCTCTTATAAATCATTCCATTGTAAATACAATGCAAACTCATTTAAAAAGATTTCCAGAATTAGCAATGTGAGCATAATTGATCATCTGGTCACATTTTTACTCAAATTTCATTCAATACTTTACTGATAATCTTTATGCAGAAAAGGATAATACCTGGATAATTTTCAAAACCAGTGAACAAATGGATAAATACCTCAAAATCTAGTTGTCACCTTACCGTATTTCTAGACAACCCAACTTCAGAGCAATTTCCTGGTCCACTTGATCAGCTAACTCTAACATATAATCGCTCTTCACCTACAATACAAACGAATGGGAAAACAATGCTGTATTAAAATAACGCATTTTAGAGTCAACCACTCAATAAATGTTTACTGAGTGCCCTTTACATGCCTTAAACACACTGTGTCAATAATTATGTAGGTGCTGGTGATATAAAAATGAGTAATAGAAAGAAAAAAAGGAAGGAGGGAAGGAAGGACAGGAGTAATGTATCATCTTCAACATCATTAAGGAGGACTAGTTATACTAAAGAAGTCAAGTTACAGTCAACATCATCTATGGCCACTTAGACAGAACATTACGAAACAACACTGTCGGATCACAGGTAATGTCAAGCCGCTTTTTACGCTTCCCATCCCGTCAAAAGTTAAAACTGGAGCAAGGTCTCCATTCCTGTGCAAATTTGCAGCAGGTATGTTTTCTGAATTTAAACTATAACTCCAGCAAGATTTTTCAGGCCTCTATACAAGTGTGAAGAAAATTTACATATTTCAAAATCCATTTGACTGTGCAGTTGAGGTGCTTTCACCTAGCCGTCAACTGGAGTAATTAATCTGCAATGTAATGGCGCGCTAAAAGGCAAATATCAAGAGAAGCATCTAACAGAATTTATAAATGCCTTTCAAGCAATGAATCTACTCAGTTAAAATCGTATGCTCCTGAACTGCTAGCAGTATTTGGCAGTACACATAAGTATAAAGACATTTTCGAAGATGAAATGCAAACAAGATGTTTGCAGTGTAAGTAGGTTTATTATTGGACTAAAATGCAGAAAAGGTAACTCAAGATACATATTTGTATATGGCAGAGAAATACCATAGCTGTTCTGGCTGTAACATTCAATGAATTTTAGTTGATGGTCTGGTGTGGACTTCAGTGAAACCACTGCAGTGTATCAATTACATGTTGAGGTAAATGTATCACTACAAACTTGTCTTGAAGACTAATTACTATAATTTCTAAACATTATTCAGAGGTGGGAAAAAGTAACCAAACACTGTATTTCATTCATGAAAACTGAATTAATTGCACAAATAAAAAGAAGGGAAAAATTCTAATTTAGCAATCTTTATGGAAATTGCACTTATTTATGAACCTGAATTGAAAGTTCTAAGACTTGCTCTCCTACAGCTTCAAGCTATTCCTCTTGGTGGTTATACTCAGAGATGGTATAACCATAAGCTTGAAGTACAGTCATGGCGATCAATGTATTCTCCAAAATGCATTGAGATGGACAAAACCATGGCAACACGTTGACTCATCCCAACTTGTCCTCACCTGAATCCTTGGGCCAGCTTCCATACTAGCAGGGCTGTCCCCAGTCAATCCAACACCTCCCCCTGTCACCTATGCTCCAGAGATGGTGTTATTGGAAACCCTCTGAACACCCAATGAATGCTCGGGTATTTTTCTTCAAGAGTCAGTGTTCTTTTCCTTTAGAAAACATTTCTTCACTACCTCTTTTCCCCTACTAAATCCCAGAAGAATTAACTGTTCTCATTTCTGTAATGAAAAAAACTGTATCAAGCATTTACACTGTACATACTCAAGCACAGTGTTAAGCAGATCTGTGTGTAATACCTCCGTTGGTCCTCACACGACTGTGACTTGGGTACCACTGTATTCCTACTTCACAGTCACAGGGGAGTCTCAAAAGAACGATGATGATGACAGCAGAGAACGGGGATCTGGCAGGAGCCAGGCACTGTACTGAGTATTTCATGTACATTATTTCTGATCTTTACAATGACTCTTGCAGGTAGGTCTTATTAGCCCTATTTTACACATAAACATCTGTAGAGTAAGTTTACCCAAGGTCAGACAGCAAGTGTGAAAGTCAGGATTCAAAAACCAGCTCTGTTAGTCCCTAACATGGAGGCTTCTGCTTGTACCTCCACCTTCTTGGGAACGCTCTGGAGTAGACCCACGAGATATACATGTGGCCGGCTCTCTACTGGAACGAAGATGACCAATGAGCAGGGACTACACGTGTTCACCCTTGTATCCCCCGTACCTAACGCAGTGGCTTTGAGTGCACCTGCTGGTTCCCCTACCACTGCCAACGTGTAGTATTCGCTTTTTATACCATAAATGACTGCTGCTTCTTAACTCCAGGCCCAGGAAATTTAAAAGATCCTCTCAAGAAAAAAATCTCTGGAAGCAGTTCTTTAAAAAAAATTAATTTGTTTCCATGTCAACGTCAATTTCCTACTAAAAAAGGGTATGCATTTGGACTTCCTTCTGTGGGCCAGTACTGCATTTATAGTCATGAGGTTTTTTTCAACTTACTGGACAATACAATTAAACACAGGTTTGAATATAAAACAGCTCATATTCTCCAATAGAAAATATTAACCTTAGATTACTCCACAATTTATGGCATAGTCAATTTGATGCTCTGGCTACCACATGAGATTGTATGTTTTATTTTGGTCTCTTCTGAATATTTTATCAGCTATACAAATTTATCCACTAGACCCAAAAGTTCTTGGTAGCAAGTGGAAAGAGGATGAGGCTGAAGTCAGACACACAAACAGGAAACTCACTGAGTATATAACCACTTAGCTGGGTAACCCAAGGCAAGTAACTCAAATCTCACAGCCTCAGTTTGCTCCACCATAAAACAGTCTTCCCTGGACTTTGCCAGATGGCAGAGTACAGGTTCTGATCTATGCAGAAGGAATTCAATGACACTTCCCAATTAAAACGAACTTCTCAATCTTTCTCTTGTATACCTAAGCTATAAAAAATATACATAAATGTACATATTAAGGATCATGCTATCTTAACAAGGCATACGCTTTTCACAGTTATGTCGCTTAACACAGTGCTGAACAGTTTTTCATTCACTGATTTACTCCACATTTACTGAATGCCGGCCATGTGTCAGGACATGGTAGTGAATAAAACCACATGGGGGTGAGGGTAGGGTGTCAGGTAGTGATTAAGTTCTACAGAGACAAAGAAAGAGAATGTTGCAATTGAAAATAAGTGCCCACGAAAGGCCTCACTGAGAAAGTGGCACTTGAGCAAAACCTCAGAGGAGGAGGAAGAGGAATCAGCAAAGGGCGAGCCCCAGCGCACCTGCGAAGAGGTGCACGCCCAGGGAAGTGAACAGGTGGCACAAAGCCTTCTGAAGTGTGGCACACCTGGTTTGTTAGAGAAGAGCAAGAATTCAAATGAGAGGTGAGAGTAGCACCCCATCACCCAAAGAGGCAACGGTGGGTACACCCTCATTTGAAAGGATTACTGTTATGTTGAGGACAGACTGCAAAGGGCAGGGACTGAAGCCAGATGACTTGTATGACAACATGTGTTTCCACTGGCTCTTGTTCTGTCCATTCATCATGGAAAAGTAACCACAAATCATACTACACAAAACTGAAGAATCCCAGCTACACAATAATTTTTTACAACAAAATTTGTTACAAAGTATGTTGTTAAGTGCCCTGGAGTCAGCTCTGACTCACACAGGACCCTACAGAAAGAAACACTGCTCAGTCCTGCACCATCCTCACAATCGTTGCTATACTTGAGCCCATTGTTGCAGCCACTGTGTCAATCCATCTCGTTGAGGGTCTTCCTCTTTTTCGCTGGCCCTCTACTTTACCAAGCATGATGTCCTTCTCCAGGGACTGACCCCTCCTCATAACATGTTCAAAGTATGTGAGATGAAGTCTACTTCCTAGAATCTCTCGCCATCTGTGCTTCTAAGTAGCATTCTGGTTGCACCTCTTCCAAGACAGATTTGTTTGTTCTTTTGGTAGTCCATCGTATACTCAATATTCTTCGCCAACACCACAATTCAAAGGCATCAATTCTTCTTCAGCGTTCCTCATTCATCATACAGCTTGTGCATGCATACGAGGCAACTGAATACACCCTGGCTTGGGTCAGGCACACCTTAGTCTTCAAGGTGACATCTTCACTTTTCAACACTTTAAAGAGGTCTTTTGCAGCAGATCTGCCCCATGCAGTGCATCTTTTAATTTCCTGACTGCTGCTTCCATGGGTGTTGACTGTGGATCCAAGAAAAATGAAATCCTTGACACCTTCAATCTTTTCTTCATTTATTGGTTCAATTGTAGGATTTCTGTTTTCTTCATACTGAGGGCTGTAGTCTCTGATCTTTATTAGTAAGCACTTCAAGTCCTCTTCAGTTTCACGAGCAAGGCTGTGCCATCTGCATAGCGCAGGTTATTAACGAGTCTTCCTCTAATCCTGATACTCCATTCTTCTTCGTATCGTCTAGCTTCTCGGATTATTTGTTCAGCATACAGATTGAATAAGTATGATGAAAAAATACAACCCTGACTCATACCTTTCCTGACTTTAAACCATGCAGTATCCCACTGTTCTGTTCGAATGACTGCCTCTTGATCTATGTACAGGTTCCTCATGATCACAATTAAGTGTTCTGGAATTCCCATTCTTCCCAATGTTAGCCATAATTTATTATGATCCACATAGTCGAACGCCTTTGCATACTCAATAAAACACAGGTAAACATCTTTCTGGTATTCTCTGCTTTCAGCCAGGATCCATGTGACATCAGCAATGATATTCTTGGTTCCACGTCCTCTTCTGAATCCAGCTTGAATTTCTAGCAGTTCCCTGTTGATACACTACTGCAGCTGCTTTTGAATGATCTTCAGCAAAATTTTACTTGCAGGTGATATTAATGATATTGTTCAATAATTTCTGCATTGGGTTGGATCACCTTTCTTGGGAACAGGTATAAATACAGATCTCTTCCTGTCAGTTTGTCAGGTAACTGTCTTCCAAATTTCTTGGCATAAACGAACGAGCACGTCCAGTGCTGCATCCGTTTTTTGAAAGATCTCAACTGGTATTTCGTGAATTCCTGGAGTCCTGTTTTTTGCCAATGCCTTCAGTGCAGCTTGGACTTTTTCCTTCATTACCATTGGTTCCTGATCATATGCTACCTCCTGAAATGGTTGAACGTCAACCAATTCTTTTTGGTATAGTGACTCTGTATTCCTTCCATCTAATGT